TGCTGTTACCCATCTGGGACTAATCTGCTTGCAGTGATAACAGGCATTTAGCCTCTCTCTAGTATCCGATGCACTTCATCTCACTGACAAAGCTACATATCAAGAAGGGCAAAATATTCTATTATTAACTGAATGCCCACATGTCAAAAGAGTTGGTGGGACAACTAAATCAGAAAAATCTTTCTGGAGGAGGGAAATTTTTTGTTTTTTAAAAATATGTCTCTATTGATTTCAGAGAGAGGAAGGGAGAGGGAGAGACAGAAACATCAACGATGAGAGTCATTGATCGGCTGCCTCCTGCACACCCCCCACTGGGGATTGAACTCACAACCCGGGCATGAGCCCTGACCGGGAATCAAACCACGATCTCCTGGATCCTAGGTCAATGCTCAACCGCTGAGCCACCCCCGGCTGGGCTGGAGGAGGGGAGTTTTGACTCAGAGTTCTACGGAGGTGACAAATGTTGGCTTTCAGAGAAGTGGGAATTTGTTTTAAAGGGTATTTGCAAAGGGACCAAGATGGCAATAACCAAGCAGCATGGGGCAGCTGGTGGAGTTGCAGGGAGTGGGACCTGAGGATGCTCCTGCCATTCTTTTTCTGCCCTGACTCTCTTATTAGCATTAAAAACTCTTTAAGCCCAGTGTTTATTTTGAGTATTGTAAGGAGCTCAGGTAGAAGAGAGATGGATAAGAAAATGAGTCTGGTGGAAGTCATTTTAAAGATACAGAGCAAGGAATGGCAAAATCATCACTGCAAGAATGTGTCCCCTTTGTGCAAGATATTCCATTTGCATATTTAGGCTTCATGCTTCAGTGTGTGCTTATGTGGTGTGGGTGAGATAAAGTTGCAGAAAGAACTTAGAATTGCTTGACTTTTGAAAGTTAAGTCAGCTGTGACTTTCCACTAATAAAGTATCTTTATAGGCTTAATTTTCTTGCAGCCGTGTGTGTGTGTCTGCATGTTGGTGTGTGATATTTAATGGGAAGAGAGTAAGTAGACAGCTGATTTATCTCAAGTAGAACATTGAGGTGAGTGTATCATCACTGAAATTATCACAGATATTAGAAGTCAAAAAACGCCACGGTGATTAATGTCAGTTCCAGTCTCTTCCTTTTGCAGCATAACCCTGCCCAACAGAATCATGGCAGTTCCTAAGCACTGGTTTGGACATTGTCACAGGAATAAAGCTCATAGCCGCATGTTCAGATAACCTACGGTGAAGTGTCTATAGCAAACTGGATTGGCCAAATAAAAAGGAATGCGTGCGTGCACACTACAAATTGGCGTCAGGACTGGTTTGTGTTTTCTCTCAGAGGCATGGAAGCAGATCCCCCTCCCAGGTCTTCCTCCAAGTTTCTCTGCAGTCTTGCCTGTTTGTGCCTGGTAAATACCTGTGCACATCAAAAACACAAACAGCAGAGAAAACCTGAGAAGGAGGAAGCAGGGCCGTTTCCACTCACTGTCCTTTTTAGAGCTAATTTCTTGGATTCCTTTCATTGACTCTCTTCCATCTGCCCATCCACACATAACCCATATAGCTGGCAAGAATCTGCTCTGCCACAATTATATACAAGACTACCACATTACTCTATGTTTCTATATCTAATTAAATCTCAGTTTTAGCCTTTATCGGCTAGGGCAGCCAGATTCCCAATATCAGCCATGATTGGCAGCCTGTGGCCCTGAGAGTGGTTCTAAGAGTCCATTGGTATTCTTCAGTTCAGAAAAATTGGGGGATGGGCCTCCAACTCTTTAGGCCATTGTGGTCACCACTGAGATGCAAGTTGTTCAAGCTCTTGAGGTCTATTCAAAGGAAGCAGGCCCTTCTCCCACTGTACCAAAAATGGGCACGGGCATCATTCTTCATGTCAGTGGGGGCCACAGCCCCTTGCGTTTAGGCTCCTGCCTGCAGACCATCCCATCAGACACCCTGGGCAGTAAACAGGAGAGAGGTCACACACCCCAGTGCCTTGCACTCACCACTCCTGTCTCTTCTTTTGGTTCCCATGTCATTTTCACTGTCTAAACTGAAAGCTACACCCAGCACTTTGGCTAGTAATAGACTCCAAAGTCTGACTAGAGTTATTTTTCAGGTTTCTGGCAATTTCTGTTTTTAACTCCTAAGCCTAAAATATCTGGGAGCCCTGAACTCAGAGCTCAAGAGTTTGTCTGATCTAGAAAAGCAGGGGCAAAATTGGCTTCCTTTTTCCTAGATCCTATTGCAGTAGCAGGAACAAGAATTTAAATCCATATTTTGATAGATTATCTTATCAGATTATATGATGGGAATTTGCGACAGTTGGGAAGAAAAACAGGAATTTTTTGACCAGTGGAAAAATTGGCAGAAGTTTTTATTATTGATGTTGTTTGACGTCTTAAGGCCTTACAAGAAGTTTCTCCAGATCACCTTCCGAAGATCAATGTGACTAGTAAACCAAGTCAATGGGCAGAATCAACTGGCTTTCTTGGCATCACAGACTTAGCAGCCTCTTGTTCCATTTATAAATGTGGCTTAATTATTCCTTTATTCTGGTAGTGTGGTGGAGGATAGTGTGTCCCTTGAGTGCTTGAAGAAGCAAAATGTTTAGCTTAACTCTCTCTTACAAGGATGGAGAGGTAATGAGAAAAGAGAATTTTTCCCTGAGAGTTGTGTGCGAATGAGAATGAGCTAAGGGTTGACAGTAATAATGTGTACTTTTAGAACGAGTCTCTTTAGGTCATTAAGTTTATCCTTTCATCTGAAAACATGACAGTGATTGGAAAATCAATTAGCACATGTACCATATGTCCAAAACAGCCTAAAATAAAGATGAGGGGGACCGTTATTTATTTGTTAGGAGCCACTGACCCATGAACCTCTCCTTCCAAAGTTAAGTCAGGTTCAATACTATATGCATATATTTCATTAATCATCTATTGCTGCTGCCACAAATTTAGCAGCTGAAAACACTCGTTTATTATCTCACAGTTCTATATTGTATATCAGAAGTCCTGCTACAGCATGCCTCAACTGGGTCTTTCCCTTAGAGTCTCACAAGGCCAAAACCAAGATGTGGGCAGAGCTGTGTTCCTTTCTGCTTTCAAGCACACTCTGATGGGTGGTAGGATCAAATTCCTTGTGGTTGTAGGACTAGAGTTCTGTTTTCTTCCTGGCTGTCAACTAGGGACCACCCTTAGCTCCTTGAGGTGCTCTCTCTAGTCCTTGCACATGGCCCCCTCCATCATGTGACTCTCTCATCTCAGAGCCAACGAAAGCTTTTGATCCTTCCCACCTTTAGAATCCCTTTGACTTGCTCTTTTGCTGTGTCTTTTCTGTCTCTAGCTGGAGAAAGTTCTTCACTTTTAAGGGCTCATGTAAGTGGATTGGGCCCATTCAGATAAATCAAGATCATCTCCTCTGTTAAAGTCCATAACCTTAAGCACACCTGCAAAGCCCCTTTTGCCACATAATTTAGCATACTCATAGGGTCCACAGATTAAGGTAAGTATACCTTTGGGGGGGAAGGGGTCAGTCTACCTGCCAAAATGCCTTTTTGTAGAAAAAGAAATGTAAAACATTCAATTCAACTTGCTTTTAAGTTTTTCACTTAGTACATAAAACTATTCAATAAAAGTAACAATAAATTTAAAACCTTATTTCATCCCCATTTTGGCAAGTTGGGATGGGCTTGGCAGAATAGAGGCAACAAATAATTTAGAAGAGATCATTTATCTTATAAAAAGGGGAATTGGGGAAAAGGAGAGAGCTTCATAGGTTGAGAAGGGCAGAGCCATGGAAAGAGAGGAGAAAAAGGGAGGGAGAAAGAGAGGGAAGGAAGAAATGGAACTAAAAAGAAAGGTAGAAAGAAGATGATAGGGGAGGAACAATACAAGGTGTCCCAAAAAATGTATATACACTTTAACAGCTGATAGGTCGGTTTTGAAAATGAAATGTATTTTAATAAACACTGCCTTTATAATTTTTAAAAGTGTGTTTATACATTTTTGGGGGAACACCCTGTATGAAAAGCTTAAGAAAGAAATATCCAAAAGAAGTAAAATCGGCATCTCAAAGAGCCATCTAGAGCTATCTGCACCCCTTTATCCATTGCGGCAGCATTCTCAATGGCCAAGACATGAAAACAACCTAAGTATCTGTTGGTGAATGAATTATGCGTAAGGAAAATGTCACACACCACACACACACAGGGATATTATTCAGCCATATAAAAGAAGGAAATCCTGCCATTTGTAAGGACATGATACTAAGTGAAATAAGCCAGACAGAAGAGGAAAATACTGTGTGATTTCACAAATACTGTGGAACCTGAAAAGGTCAAACTCATAGAAACAGACTCGAGTGGTGATTATCAGGGGCAGGGGAGTGGGGAAAATGGAGAGAGGTTGGGTAAAGGTTACACACGTGCAGTTATAAGATGAATAGTTTCTGGGAATCTAATGTATAGCATGATTATGGTTAATAATTCTGTATTATAATGCCATAAGGTGCCATTGAAGCTACTAAGAGAGTAGGTCTTAAGTGTTTTCATCATACCCAAAATAAGAAAAAAGGTAGCTGTGAGGTGAAGATATGTTTATTAACTTGATTGTAGTAACAGTTTCACAACGTATACATATATCAAACCATGTTTTACATCTTAAAAATATACAATTTTTATTTGTTAATTATACCTCTAAAACTGAAAAATGAAAGAGATGATAAAGCGTATAGGAGAAAATAGATGTATGAAGAGATGTAAGTAAAGTTCAGTAGACTTTAAAGTGAAGGTCAACTGAAGGTCTTTGGGGCATTTAGGGCATTTGTTATCTATTGGAGTGACCATACTCTCTACTTCTAAGATAGCTTTAGGTTACACGAATTGTCTTGGCATATATATACTAGTAGCACTTCTTTCTCTCTCATAAGTGTCTTGATTTGGATCACATATTATATAGTAATCTTTCCTTAATAGGGTTCTATCTGTAAGGTACATTAACTGTTTACCATTTTTTTTTTGCAGCTTTTAACATGTTACCAGAACAGCTGCTCCACATGCATTGGTCTCAGAATTCTACAAAATGCATGAAATTCATCAGTGACTGACTCAGATCCCTGAATCAGGTTTCTAATTCCTGAATTCATCTCTTGTTTTTTGACATTCACAGTCTGTAAACTTGATTATTGGTATTAGAAAAAGGCTGTGTTTTTTCTTAAATTTCCTTTCTCGTCTCAATATATCATTGTGTAACACATAGTTTAAAATGTAATTTTATGCTTTCTGGAGGGAGAAAAATGAAAACTCATTATCTCTTAGATATTAAATCAAAATGTGCTTTCTAGTTTTTTAGTTTTTTCAGCTTTTCCTTATCATTTGGGTCCACTTTACATGGTTTTATGTTCTCAGAGTGCTATTCATGTTTGCATGCTAATTAATCTGTACTGGTGAATACATGTATAAATAATGGTGATAAATAAAAGAGCAGGTGACCAATAAAAAAACTAACTGGCTTCAATAAGGCTGTATTTCAGGTTGCTTTTGGTTAATAAACCACATTTACAGTTCTTGCCTTACACTCAGCAGGACTAGTTATTTGATTATGAGATAGTTTCAATATTGGTTTAAATAAAACTAATTTTTATGGCCTACGGTTTAGTTCTAGATAATCTCCGTGTTATTCTGGATTATAATGCCTTGAGGAAATAGTGGATAAACAAAATATCCAATTTGCCATAGATTAAAATTGTGTGCATTGCCCAGGTCTGGTAATATGGCAGGGTGGTAAAAAAAAAAAAAAAAAAAAAGCCAAATTCAGAGTCAGGCCATCAGACCTGGCTTTGTTTCTGAGCAGCTGTGTGTCCTCAGACAAGTTACTCATCCTTTCTGATGCTCAGTGTCTTCATGTGCAAACTGCAGACCTCAATATCAACCTGGGATAGAGGGTGATACAAATGAAACGAGATTAATGAGAAACCCCTAGCACAGATTTTGGCACACTGGCAGAGTTCAAAAATCATTAGTTATCATCTCTTTACCTCTTGGGATGGCTAGTATGGTCGTATGATGTTAACATCATCTTCATCATCCAATCTAAATCCAAACCTTAATTTCTGAATAAAAAAATTGGTCTCTTCAGATTTAATATTCTTTTATATTGTCTTATTATATTTGAATTTTTTTCAGTTATACCCTCAGGGCCTGCAAAAAGAAGTTTAAGTGTTTTATATGATCATTTGCTAAAGCAGTAATAAGAAATGCTTTTACAAAAAGATTAGATAATCCATCTATGCTTCATCTATGAAATTAGGGCAACAGTGGTACCTAATAGAGAAAAGTTTTATGTGGTTTAAATAAGGTATTAAAAAAAAGATCAGAAATTTCAAATTTCATAACAAGGCCAGGAACAACAGAATTTTGTTATTTACATTACATTTGTCATTTCAATAGCAAATGCTCCTACTTTAAAGGTTTTACCACAAATAGCTTAATGTTAGTAATTCTTCTCAAGGGTAGCAAAAGTCTCTTTTGTGTTGTATGCTTTTTTGGAATAAAATAAAATAGCTTTTGGCATTAGTTTTAGCAGTTTTTAATCTAATTCCAAAAGCAAGGATAACAAAAGCAAAAATAAACAAATGGTACACATCAAACTGAAGTTTCTAGATAACAAAGAAAACCATTAACAAAATGAAAAGGCTACCTACTGAATAAAGGAAGACATTTACAAATATATATTTAATAACTGGTTAATATCCAAAATATATAATGAACTCGTATAACTCAATAACAACAAAAACCAATCTGAAAATAAACACAGGATTTGAATAGACATTTTTCTAAAGAAGACATACAGATGACCAACAGGTACATTAAAAGATGCTCAACATCACTGATCATCAGGGAAACGCAAAAAAAAAAAAACCAAAAACAAACAAACACAAGGAGATATCATCTCACACCTGTCAGAATGGCTATTATAAAAAATACAAGAAATAACGAGTGTTGGTGAGGGTGTGGAGAAAAGGGAACCTTAATGCACTGTTGGTGGGGATGTAAATTGGTGCAGCCATAGTGGAAAACCATATGGCGATTCACCAAAAATTAAAAATAGAACCACAATATAATCCAGCAATTCTACTTCTGGGTATCTATCCAAATAATACAAAAACACTAATTTAAAAAGGTATATGCACCCTTAGGTTCATTGCTGCATTATTTCCAATAGCCAAGATATGGAAGAAACCGAGGTGTCTGTGTATGTGTGTGTGTGTGTGTGTGTGTATAATTGAATACTGGTCATAAGCAACAGTAAAATCTAAATCTTTCCATCTGTAACAACATGAATGGCCCTTGAGGGCATTATGCTAAGTGAAATAAGTCAGACGTAAAAAGACAAATACTGCATCATTTCTCTTATATGTGGAATCTAAAAAAATAAAACAAAACCCAGACTCATAGATACAGAGAACAGATTGGTGGTTGCCAGAGACAAGGGGGCTTAGTGGGCAAACTGGGTGAAGGAGATCCAGAGGTACAAACTACTACTTATAAAATAAGTAAGTCATGGGGATATAACGTACAACGTGGGTAATACAGCCAATAACATTGTATTAATTTTGTATGGTGACAAATGGTAACTAGACTTACTGTGGTGATAATTTTGTAATGTATAAAATGTCAAATCACTATGTTGTACATGTGAAACTAAATAATATGTGTCAATTGTACTTCAATTTTAAAAAAGGAAAATAGCTTTGATAGATGATTTGGTTCCTTTGGTGTCTCATTTACAACTCCTTCAAGCATGCCCTTGTCCGTGGTACTGACGACCTGACAGGCTGTGCTCCAGTGTAAGTATTTGATGGCCCAGGGGTTTCTTCCATGCCAGGTACATAAAGAGCTCCTTTTGGTTTGTAGTTGCTGTTCTTTTATGTTGGGTCTTTTGTCATTTTAAAGCTCTTCTTAGACTCCTTAAATGCTCAAAGGGCCAGCTCATTTCTGGTTTCTGTTTTGTTTAAACACTTCTATCCAGTGGCTTGTGTCATGCTGTGGTTCAGATTCTTGAAACGTTTCTTGGCCCAACTCACATGTGGTTATTGAGATTTAAGTCCCTTACATAGTATCTTCAGTCATTCATTCTACAAATGTCTACTGCTCTCTTCCCTTTTAGGAAAATGCAGTATTCTTATTGTATTTCTTCTTTACTCTCATATAACTCAGGTGCCACACATAAGTCCAAGTTGTCACCTATACTTCTGACCAACCAGCTATCGATCCCTGGTTCATCCACGGGTTGCATTAATTTGCTAGAGTGACTCACAGAATTCAGAGAAACAGTGTGCTTACTAGATTACTGACTTATTTATAAAGGAATGTAACGCAGGAACAGCCAGATGGAAGAGATATGTAGGGCAGGATGTGGGGAAATGGGGCAGAGTTTCCATGCCCTCTTATGGTGGGTCACTCTCTTAACACCTCCATGTGTTCACCAACATGGAAGCTCCTCTAACCCTGTCCTAGTGAGGTTTTATGGGGACTTCATGACAATCATGATTGATTAAATCATTGGCCATTGGTGAATGATTCAACCTCCAGCCACTTTCCCCTCCCTGGTGGTCAGAGGAGTAAGACTTTAGTTCCAATCTTCTAAATACACAGTTAGGCACCCTGGCAATCAGCCCTCAACCTTATGTTATCTTGGGGTTTTCCAAAAGTCACCTCATTAACATAACAGAAGATATCTTTATTACTCTCCTCACTTAAGAAATCCAGAAGGTGCCAGGAATGGGATGGTGACCAAATATATACTTCTCATTATAAATCACAATATCATAACTCCTAAGTATAGATTCCTATTATGGGCTCTATAGGAAAATAAAAAGTGAGAATGATTTGGTACCTGACTTCAAGAAGCTTAGGAATTTGGTTAGAGATGAGAGGGGGAGATCAGTAAACAGACTTGGGAAAGTGAGGCAGAATAAACTAAATATTTTAGGAGAGGTACAAGTAGTGCGCTCTGTTAGCATACAGCAGTGACCTTAAACCCAGGCGACACCGAAGAGTCACCTGGGGGTGCTCTAAAAGTCTCAGTGCACACACTCAATCCCAGACAAATTTAGAAGCTATAGTGACAGAGATCAAGGCATTTCAATTTGTAGATACAGCTGAGAACCACCGGCTCTTCCCAGTATAATCTTAAAGTCTTAGATATCTTTGTTACCGTTGATTTCGTGTACCTGTCCTCATGTTCCATGTTGTGTTTTGATGACTACCCACTTCAGTGTTGGTAGGACTTTGTATAGTTAGTATATGCTCAGTAAATATTTGTGTGTTGATAGATGAATCTTACTTTTTAATGTTCCCCTTTATTGAGTACCTACTGTGTTTGGGGCACTGTACTAAGTGGTGAGGAAAGAGCAGCCAATACTATCATGTCACTGCTTGGGTGCTGTTTCCCACACTGTGCTTCCCCTCTCTTGGAACCATCAGGCAGCAGACTCCTGGACCCCTCCCCTAATACTGAGTCCCTGGGGTGAAATCCAAGGATCTCTTTGCTCACAAGCTGCCCAGATGATTCCTGTGCACATGAATTCCTGAAAGAACTGAGGAATGGCACTTGCAAAGCCACAGTGACAGGACAGAGCTGGGCAAGGAGCACTGTGGGTGCTGCCACAAAGGGGCTGACTTTTGGGGGAGCCAGGGAAATGCTGGGAGGAGATGGCCTCTGAGAGCTGTCTTCAAGGATGACTATCTGCTCACATGGAGAGAATGGAAGGGAGGGCATTTCAGGCAGAAAAAAAAGACTCCGAGTCAAGTCACAGATACAGGAATGAGCAGGGCAAGTTAAGGAGATTGGAAGCCCACTGTGAGGGCCCTTTTGTAATTTTAAATTAATTAACCTTTATTGATTCCTAAATGTTCTAAGCACTGTGCACAATGAGGATGGTAAACTGCTCAAGGAACAGGATGTTTCTGGGTCTGGCTTCGAGCTCTTGTTTGGTTTGGCAGAGCAGTGCCCCATCAATGGCAAGCTCTGGATGTCTCCGAAACACCAGAGGCCTTCTTGACTCGTGGTGCCGCAAAGCCACACCCGCGGTAGCAGAGCCTCCCCTGGAAGGCTCTGAGCTCTGGCCTGTGTGGTCAGCATCACCTCTCCCCGATGCAGCCCTGGCAGTTGGGCAGGGACTCCCCATCTCCAAACTTCTGGGGGCTCTAGAGAGAGACAGAGTCTGACCTGGGAAGGTGGCCATGAGGCTTGGCTGACAAGAAGCTCATGGTAGTCATAGCTAGTGATCCTTTGAAATTGGCGGTTTAGTTTTATAACTCTATTAATACCGAGCTATACACATTATGAGTAAAATAGTCTATGGTACCCAACATGGAATTCTAAACACCATTTATAACTTTTCATCTAAGGGAAAGAATAAACCATGTTCCAAAACCTAAAATTTTTTGAGTAACAACAGCTATTTACTTATTAGGCACCAGGCCTGAAATGTTCTGAGCT